TCGCAGAAAATCACCGGCTTTGAAGGCCTGCTCACACATGACAAGCGTCGTTTTCTGATCGTTGCGACTGTTGTGTTTGCTTCTGCCTGCTTCTGTTCTTGATCTTCGCTCCAGCTAGAGCAGCTAGATGCTGTCGCGAGCTGTGTCAGTCGTCACTTTTGCCGCAGACAGGGTGTGTTGACACAACCTGTGGAAACGTCAACCTCCCGTCTCTTCTTCATATCCACCAAAGCACCATGCCAAGAGGAAGCGTGAGAGTCCCATGAATCAAAAATTTAGCGGCAGCACGATTAGCACCCCAGAAGATGGACTTCACACTGGCAGGAAGACGACGCGCATCAATGTGCCGGGCACTGCGGAGAGAACACGATTGTTGGAGGCGCAAGCCCGAGTTGCGGTCAAAACATGAAAAATGCGAACCTCGCTTTGGCGGCAGGACGATTTCGGTTGGTGGGCCAGCAAGCGTGGGACAGTGGTGGGAACGGCCCTGCGGCAGGAGCAGGATATCGAATTTTTCCAGATTCAGAACAACGGCGATCTTATGTCTGGAGGGTTTACTGTTTGTTTGGAAAAGCCTTGTATGGGGTGTTGCTCTGTATTCCACAGATTCCACAGCACTGGTCGGTCACGAGTACAGGGATGTCCTACGCTGCGCAAGGCCACAGCCAATCACTGTTCTCTTTGAGGGGCAAGCAAAGATCGTTGTCAGCAGAAACGAATCGAGCGCAATCACACACACAGACACACACACACACACCAGAGGCCATTCATCTCCCCACGCACTGGGCTTCCGATGAGAACTTCCAGACATGTTGACCGGCTCTCCTGACATGAATTCAAAGCCAGACCGAGCAGCATCGAGTGTCATCTTCAAGGTGTTGGAGATGGAGTCCAGTACGATCCAAAAAGGCCCACAAGATACCGTCCGGAGCTCGTGGCGATGCCCAAACACTAAACGGCCGGTCTCACTGCCCTGTTGTGACACTCGCAAGATCGCATGACGATGGCGGCGTGGTGCCACGCCTCAGCGCCTTCGCCAATGGTGCCCAGTAGCCTTGAAGCCACAGCCACACAGCTTCTTGCTCAGAAGGACAAGGACAAGGAGCTTCAAAAGCTGGCGATGTCAGCTGACGAAGGCTCACTGCGGTCTCTAAGGCCGCTGCTCTGGCCATGGTGCGACCTGGCGCGGCGCACGAAGACTCACGAGCGCTGGCCGCTGGCGGTGCGCGGCGTCGCGCGGCGTCGCGCAGCGTTGCGCCTCCGGACAGTTTCCAAGCTGAGAGGCTCCAAACGACCTGCTGCGAGGAGTGCCAAAGCCTAAGAGCAACCACAAACTCTGGAAAAAATCAAGAGCAGAGGCCGCAAACTCAGCGCAAGCGTATTCTCCGAAGGTGATAGACATTCAAATTCGACGGCTTGTCTATGCTGCTTTGGCAAATGAGCTCCAATGCTGAAGTCTCGAAACGACAAGTCGAAGCTTATGAAATGTATTTGCAGTTTGCGGAAGGTCCGCACAAGACGGTCTTCGATTGCAGTCAACATCAATCATCCCACAATGGCAGTCACGGGCAATCTTGCATGTACGAAGACAACTCGCTGTGCCAACACGAGATCAGTCAGCCTGCATCGGTTCCCGCCATGACTAAGCACAGTAAATCTACAATGGCGAAACTCTGCTTGCCTGGTTTTAATGCATGCTAGACGAAGCGACTGTCGACCATCTCCATAGTCCTATGATTCCTTCCAGAGGCTGAAAGCAGAGCCCCCGTTGCTGGATTTGTGGCAATCGGCATGCAAGTCGCAAGCGGGGTCTGTCGGGATCAGTGAAGCCTCCCTGGTCAGACCGTCGGGTCGTCGCGTCAAACGACGAGTTTCTACGAAGCGCTTCCGCTGCCCATGAAGGTGATCAAGTTGTCCGGTGAGACCACAAACTGGCTGCCGAGATCGGGTTCAGCCTCGCTGGACTGAAATTCCAACCTTGGAAGCTTCGGCATGATGCATGTTACCGCTCTCTACCCTGCAACTTTAGGACAATGCTGACTAATTAAGGCAGTGAGAACAGAAAAACCTGTTTTCGAATTCAGGAGGTCTAAACAAATCGTGTGGAATTCGATTTCTACTATACACCCAACAAGCCTTGCTGCTTGGGCACATCCCGGCACCGCGCGTCAAGCACGCAGGTGCTGGAAATACCCCCCGTGCAGCGGATTTTGATTGAACAAAGCAAGCCGGGCGCTATAGAGGCAGTCGGTGATTTCTCTGGGCTTTCCGAGCAACCTCAGCTCCTTCATACTGGGCAATGCAGAGCAAAGCTCCTTCAAGCCGTTCTGCGTGTACTTGCTGCTGTTGCTGATCAAATAGAGCCTCATGAAGGCGAGCAGTTTGTAGAAAAACAATAACAAAGGTATGCATGTAAGTACATACATACATGCCTACGTACGTACCTACCTGCATACTTAAATACGTATATGTATTTACGACATTACTACGTATGTGTCCATGGAAACTTTACCTACCTCCATACCTACCTGCGTACGTACATACTTGCATGCGTACTTATACACCTATAGCCTATGTAAATACGTACGTACATGCATGCATGCATGAATGCATACATCTGCACATACGTACGTACCAACACGAGCATACACACATACCTACACTTTGTGCGCATCTCCGAATGAATATATATATATATACCTGATTAAAGCTAACCCTTAGATACATGCTAGATATGATACAAATACTTGCCTACTCGTTACATCAGTTAGCAATCACCCGGCCCATCCAAGTGTACTTTAGCCCGCATCCCGGCCTCATCCCCGCGCCCTCTACGGTCCTTCCTTAATCCCTCGACAGCAGGCCACTGCATTACGGCACGCAGAGACTGTTCCCTTGCAACAAAGCAACACCACCGTACTAAGCACCGGGCCAACTAGAAGAGTTAGTTTCGTGGGGGTAGTCTGTCTGTTGGCGTTAACTTTCAGAAGCAGCAACACCGTTAACAAGAACCGTGCAGGTGACAAAGACAAAGCAACACCGGAACATCACACTACTCTGTGGGTCACGAGGACAAGTGGCTCCCGCCCTTCTGTGTAGTATAGCCTAAGTCGGGATGTGTAAGGTTCCCCTTACACATGTATTTGCAACTGGACCTCTATTTGGAGAGCTGAGTGTTCGGAAAAGACTTGCATTAAAAGTGTGGCATGTGGCTCCCACAACGGCAGGCGGCGTCGGGCTCCGTGGCCCGTCTCATTGCAGTAATTCGGCTCGGCGTTGCGAGCTAAGGTGCGAACTCGGGGAGTGTGAAGTAAGAAGCGGACAACAGAGCGTAGCAAGACCAAACATGACAATCGCACTCCCTCAAACTTTTGCTGCCCCTTCACATCTCGGCATGTACTGGTCATTCCTTCCCCGGCTTGCTTCATGTGCTCCTGGACGTCTTCGCTTCCATCTTGGCCTGCTTCTTCGCTTTTTTCCTCTCCTGGCGCTGTGTTTCCTCCAAGACTTTTTTGGCTGAGCTGAGGAGCTCGACCGTTTTCTCCGGGACTTCCCACATAGATGCGAAGCTCCTCTTCTATGCGTGGGTTATATTTCCCCACAATAGCCATCAGCCGGTCCGCTCTTCGACCTGTGTCTCGTCGCCTATGGTGCTTTTGTATGTAGCGCCTGTAATCGCCTGTGGCTTCCGCATCCGCCTCCCCCGTCATGATGTTGACGTATTTCCCCGTCCTTCCGTCTTGTCGGATGGGTGTTCCAATCCACCTATCCAGTGGGGTCGGGTCGTATAGGAGAGCCATGCCCGGCCCCGTTTCAACCCCGACATAGTCAGACAGAGGTCTGCTTTTGCCTTTGCCCTTGTTGGGGCTTTGCTGAGCTTCCCCCCAGCTCTTCTGGTCAGCAGGCCTTCGGCTTCGGCCTCATCCATTTTCTTGCGCAGGTCACACGGTCGCCCCGCGCTGGTAAGCTGCTTTGTGGCCACCTTGTACGGGTCCCCGCTGTCGCGGGATTTGTGGCAAGAAAGCCCTTGTAAGCATGCTTTGCAGGACACCCCCATGTCACGAAGCCTCTCACCTAGTTTGCACTGCTCTTCCCACGTAGTGTTGACCTTCGACGCTTTGGCAGAGGGGTCACAGCGTGGCTCGGAACGTCCTTTGCTCTTCTCCGCCCTTTTCCTGGGGCCTGCGGAAGAACTTGCGATTGTGGAGGTCGAGGTACAGGTAGCACAGGCCGATTCCCCCAGTTCCACAGTGAGGCACCCTCTGCAGGACGGGCCGCGGTCAGGTTGCGAGGAAAGTTTCGGCGCTCAGGGCCTCTTAAGCAATATGGCGTCGGCACGGGACTCAAGCGTCGCTTGGGAGCAAGCACGCAGGCTCTCCTGCAGGCACAGGATCAGGTTAACCCCGTGCCTCCCCCCCGATGCCCAAGGAGGCATACCAGGCCTCTAAGAACAAAGGTGCGGACACTTGAGCCAAAATGGCTACCGCAATTCATTTTTGTTTCTCTCTGTCTCTCTCTCTCTCGTTGTCGCAGGGTTTAAAGCTTATGTTTAGGGATTATCCCAGCATCATTGGCCTCCTTCCCTCTCAGGAATGCAGGACTGCAGGCACTGCCCGAGAACTGCGGGCTGAAACAACCCGCAAGAACGTAGGACTGCAGGGTCTGCAGCCTGAAAAAGGGTTTAGAATAAAGCCAGGAGCAAAGTGGAGAATCAACGCCGCCAATCCTACTATTTAACATTTTCACGGAGAAACAGGTTTGGATTTTGGAGAGGGAGGGGGTTTAATAACCAGGGGAAGAGATTATCGATTGGTATGTAGGTAGACAGGCAGATAGGATCGATCGATCGGTAGATAGACAGACAGGCAGTCAGACATTAGACAGATAGATGGTGAGAGCACATATATATGTACATACCTATATAACATAGACTATAAGCTACATTCTATGAACTAGCTCTTGTATAATGCATGCGTCCCAAATCTGACCTGTCTAGTAGCTTCTGCAAACCAGAGCCAGAGCTGCTCAACCAGCCGGCAAACCTTGGCACAAGCACAGAGCCTTCAGACAGCTTCAGATGAGCTCAGATTCTCTGCAGATGCTTCAGCGGAACCCACAAAGCCATCCTCCGCATCGCCACCCCATCAAAGCCTTCTCGGCAACCCCATGGACTATTGGCCCCGTGCTATTGTCAGTCCACCCCTCGGCAAATGCACGGAAAACCACGCGGCTCTGCCTTTGCTCCGGCTTGTCGAGTGCTTTAAGTCACAACGCAGCAAAAAGGATGCCAGAGACACGCCACTACGCCTCCAGCTCTTGCCTCTGTGACTCAAAGGAATGACACCCCCTGGGGTTCCGCACGCCTTGAGGGTAGTGTCCGTCAACTGTGGGTTGGCATCAACATTGAGGATGAGCTCCAGTAGAGTAGCAGGAAAGCCTTGAGGCGCGAGTGCTTCTGTCAGGGGGAGCCGGGGCAGATCTGAACTGCTTCCATGAGGCTGGATATGAGCGCACCTTGGCCCGCAAAGACTTCAGGCAAGGCTTCGCTTAGGGAAATCCGTTTCGAGCGACTTGCAGAGAAGTCATGTCGAGGCACAAAGCCCTTTGTCTGTGAACTCGGCGTTGTCTTTGAAACTGAGCATTACCTCGAGGACACAGTGCATACTTATTAGAGATCCTGATGTTCGAAAGAGGATCCAAAAGGCATCGGTTTTGCTGGAGCCAACTATGCCTCTACAGTTTTTCGTCCGGTTCCGAGACATTTGAGTCTCTCCATCCTTCATGCGCAAGGAAGCACAAGGTCATGTCTCTGACTGCGGTTGTCGCGTTGCCCTTGTCAATGTGGACGGCAGTTTGGCAGCCAAACTTTCAAGCGCCTGGCAGGGACCCTCTATCGCACACGGTCATGTCGTGCCTAAAGGATCCAACGGTCAGATGCAGAGCATCACGGACGGAGGGCAAGTCGTAGGCCCTTAGCCACTGCCTTGTCTGGAAGCTCATCGTTTCTGATGATCAGATCGAGCGAAGTCAGACCCTGCCATTTCCATGTCTCTGCAAGCCGACAAAGAAAGCCCTGGCTTGCGGTGATTTGCTCTTCTGTCCATACGTTCCTCTCCTTCCATAAACCTCGACTGATTTCCTCTAAGTTTCCGTTCATGTGTGGCACAGCATGGACCCTGCATGCAGAGTTCGTGAGCTCCAGCTGCCTTGGGCAAACCTTCCGCCAATTTGGCAAAGCCGACGCATGTGATCTTGCATTCTGTCCACCTGAGATGACTAGGCATGAAACTTGGCAGTACTTGACACTAACTGTGGATACCTGTCCAGACCTGCGGTTGCAATCAGCCCTGATGCCATGCAGCAATGTGACGTACCCTTGGAAGATGAACCCGACGGTCAGACCCCTTCGGTCCCTGAGCTACTTACGGATCGCAGTCACCGGCACATGCGATTCCTCTTGTGCCTTCAAGGATCGAGAACTCAAAGGCCAGGGCCAACTTCTGCAACGTGCCTGGCAAGCCTCACGCAAACATGGAGGGTTGTCGGGCGCAAATTGAAGAGAAGTACGGAGTGCTTTCCAGAAACGTATGACAATCATAAACCGTAGACGGTGATAATGGCCATGACGACGTCGATGATTCTTCATAATGATGGTGAGGGTGAGGGTGAGGGTGAGGGTGAGGGTGAGGGTGAGGGTGAGGGTGAGGGTGAGGGTGAGGGTGAGGGTGATGGTGAGGGTGAGGGTGAGGGTGAGGGTGTGGGTGCTGGTGCCGGTGCCGGTGCCGTTTTTGGTGTTGGCGGTGGTGGTGGCGGCGGTGGTGGTCGTAGTGGTTGTGAGTAAGAAGATGGCCATGGTGGTGATGATGATGGTGATGGTGATGACGATGATGATGTAACTCATGAGGTGATGCTTCATGACAATCATCATGATGATGGTGGCGAAGAAGAAGAAAAGCATGACTGGCACACTTGCATTATGTATGCCCACATGTGTACACAAGCACGGATGTATACAGCTTATGATTATGCATGTGACATATGCTACAGCAACATATCAGGACGCTGAATAATGACAACACGGACGGATATCCGCATAAGACTACGCAAACCAAAACAACATGACATGGGCATCTGTGCACCCTAGGTCGTTCGCAGAAATGCTGTCAGAACCGGAAAGAAGGCAATCTGTTGGTACTGCAGAACTGTAGAGCTTTTTATTCCAGTTCGTCCATGCTTCCAAGCTGTCTTCATCCATCACTCTAAACAACACAGCGGCAGACACTACCTGCCTGCCCCGATGTGGCTCAGAGCTGTGTCGGTGAATTTGTCTGGGCAAACGAAGCTCAGCGTGAGCTTCTCGGTTCCTGAGGTTCAGATGCTTTGGGTAGGGACTTGAGCCTTCAGGCTCCAGGAGCGGAGAAGTGGAGTTGTCGTCATTTGTCGTCAACACTGCAACGACTCAGCGCTAGGACCAGACGCGAAGACAGTCAAGTTTCTGTGGCTTGCTATCCACCATACTTGTAATCAAAGCTGCAGACAACCCTGGGTGCAGTCGAAAAATGCAACGTGTGATACACTAGAGCTCTTAGAAGGTACCACTATCGCCTATGGCACGAAGAGCGGGGAAAAGCATGACAAGGCACAGGCAATGGGAAGCAACGACATAAAGTGGTGACATCGCTTGTCAGCAAAGAAAATGACAAGTCGACATGAGAAAGGAAGTTGCTTGTGTGCCGCATGCAGAAAATATAATGTATGTGTACAATGCATTGTGTGCTAAGACATATTATCACTAACAATCCCCAGAGCCACTCAGAAAAATAGTGAAGTGCATTTACCCGTCCTGGCGGCAGCGCCGATGAGAAGCTTTCCAACTCATCGTCAGTCGTCCATTCCTCCAGGCACCATGTGACATGCTGAAATGACTGATTCACGACTGTCGGCAGCATGCTGTCGCAATTTTGTGCCGCTCTCAGCAGACCATCGACAGCAACGAACTATTTGTCCCTGAATGTCTTGTCTTGTTCCTGATGACCCATCATATCATGCACCTTATCAACCCATCAGCCAATGCAGAGGCCTGCATGCAATGACTCGTAGTCCGGTGGATTTTACTTCAACGGGCTCCTCTATCTTGTCCTCAAAGGTGCGGAACATCCAGCTGATGAAGTGGCTCAAGGGAACCTGTTTAAGTGTAGGTCCCAAAATTCAGGCAGCTCAAGCTGTCCTCAAAAGATGTGGTTCTTGCTGCTGCGCATGCTGTCCACGGCGTTTGCTAAACAAGCATGGCGTTGACGACGCATAGCCAAAAGCTGCATGGTGTTCCTTGTGGGTCAGCGCCCGGCCGGTAGTAGTAGTAGTAGTAGTAGTAGTAGTAGTAGTAGCAGCAGCAGCAGCAGCAGGAGGAGGAGGAGTAGTAGTAGTAGTAGTAGTAGTAGTCGTGGCGGTAGTGGTAGTAGTCGTAGTCGTAGTAGTAGTAGTAGTAGTAGTAGCAGCAGCAGCAGGAGGAGGAGTAGTAGTAGTAGTAGTCGTAGTAGTAGTGGCGGTAGTAGTAGTAGTAGTAGTAGCAGTAGTAGTAGTAGTAGTAGTAGTAGTAGTAGTAGTGGTATCAGCAGCAATAGCATCATCAATATCACTTTGGCAGCAAGCCTGGCGGCTAGGCCAAGATAGCAGTAACTAGCACGACAGCCACAGTATCACAAAAAAATCTGGTATAGAGCATTTAGCGCGATGCCGTATGTTGGCAGTACTTGATCGTCCATAATGCTCCATCCAAGCCCCGAGCCGCACGTCCGATTTTATAATGGTATATGCCACATGTCTTGTGGCGATACGCTCAAGCGCACATTTTGCCCATTACGTCCTTTAACGGGAGTTTCTGCATCCGAGCCACTATCGACAAGCATAAGCATTCCCAACACTCCTGGCTCTTCGAAGTCGACGAGTCTCCAGGCCAAAAATCTGCTCCAAGCCCCAAAGCGCCCTAAATCCTGAACCGTAGCCCTATTCCCTGAATCCCTTTCCGCGAAGAGGAACGGACGTTTCTTGTGTCTCTTGGTGTGGTCACTGCTTCCGCTGCTGCGGGGCTCTTGCGAGGAGCTTTAGGCCTCGCAGGCGGCCAGTAGTAAGGTACATAGTATATGTATTTACCTATATAAATATATACATACATATATATATATATATCTATCTATCTATCTATCTATCTATCTATATATCTATCTATCTGTCTATCTACTTACTATGAATACATAAATACGTAAAAAGCTAGGTACATAAATGGCTACATGAGTAGTTTAGTTACTTGAGTAATATACACAGCTATACATATATGTGTGTATATAATATATGTGTAGAGTGTCAAAAAATAGCAACATTACACATAGTAAACATGGTATAGTGTATATGTACAGGTAGCATAGGTGTCGGCTGGGATTTGGTTTTTGGTTCAGTGGGGCTTTAGATTGAGTCGTGGACTGTATGGTGCATGCTGAAGTTTCAGTTTGGGCTTGAGAGTCGTGGCGGAAATCTTGCACGGGGTTGGGCTTCACGGGAGACAGGTCTTGTCTTGCTGCAATTGGGGTATGGACAGGGCGATCCCACTGCCAGGACCCCGGCTACCCGACTTCCAAGTTTTCCTTGTCCAGGGCCGCCGTTTATGATGCTGCTGCTTTACTTCTCCGTGGACCGGGGTGTTTGGCGCTGTCTGGCCAACACCGTGCCTCATCTGGAAAAACTTGAAGCCACTGATGCACAGCATCTTGGGTCAGCCAGGATGTGAGTTGTTCCAACCCATGACGTCTTGAAGCTTTCAGCAAGGATCTCTCAAGCAGTGTCTTGTTGAGTGATATTTTGTTCGACGCTAAGGTCCGAGTCACCATGATGCTCTCGCAGGGCGTCCTTCTAGGCCCCGGGCCTGTAGCCAAACATGAAAGGGTGGTTTCACATGAGAGCGGGCACCAGGCTTGGACGATGGTCAGCTCCATGCAGAGAACTGGCCCATTTATGTATCCTTGATGTTCGGCGGCATCGTGGGACTGCTGGTTGGCACCCCGGGAAAGACTGCCATGTATGTCATGCTGTGCTGAAGCAGTCAGGGCCCGTGCTTCATGTCAGCGATGGATCAGGTTGGAAACCGTTTGGCGGAGAAGGTGGATGCTGCAGCTTTCCAGCGCTGGCTATTGCTCTTCCTGCTCGCTGGAGCATGTCTGATGCTGAGCTCTGTGCGCCTGGAAAGCAAAGAATGTCTGCAGATCCAGAAACTTCTTGCCACCACATGGTTTCATTTCAGTCTCAATTCATGGTAGAAGCCAGGGCCCAAGCTCCCATTGCGAAGGAACGCAGTCCTCAGCACCGGGGCGGCTTTCCTCGTCTTCTTGGCTGCCGTCCTCGTCTTGGTGGTTCCTTCGCTAACGTCACGCCGTGTGTCGCAGCTTGGTGCCGGGCCCAGCTTGGCTTAAGGTCCAATATTTGGGGGTTCCCTTTCACAACTATAGTAACTATAGTATAATATACCCCCAAAACCCTATTCTAGTTATTAAGGCCCCTATGTATGGTATGGTGTAATCCACGAAAGGTTTGTTCACGTTGTGTACTTTCGACTGAGAGAGTGCAAAGCTTGTTGGTTCTAGTCCGGGGCAACTTCTGTCGTCTTGGCCCTCTTTCGTGAAACGATGGATCAGAACACGTCCAGGCCTGGTAACGGCGGAAGAACTCTGCCCTGCCAGTCAAGCAGAGCTCGAAAACATCAACGAGCACATTCGAGTCTGAGCGATCACAATGGGCCTGGGATGCACCGGCTGTGTCTGCGCCGTGCACTTGGCCTGCAATGTACAAAGCAATCACAGAAGCCGTCGCGGATGTGGAGACTTCGGGGTTCAAGTGACCTTTTTTCCAGTCCACATGCATGACGTCTGGGGCGAAGGGCGCAAGCCCAAGTCGATCCAACTCAGAAGTGTAGGTCTTTGCGAACAGGCGAAGCGCCTGCTGCGTCTCCTTGTGGGAGAATTCTTTGATCTTTCCTTTGCGACTGAACTTCGCGAAGTATGCGCGGAGCAGCCGCGATGGTAGGAGCACAGTCCGCAGAGCCAGCTGCAGTCTCAATGAGTATCTATTTACCATGATCCAAGCGCTCTGGCATCTGGCGCCTTCTTGACTTTCCTCGTCCTGGCGTTTTTGGTTGTCTCTTATGCTCTCCCTGTGCTTCTCGGCTGGAGAGCTTAGGGACCGATGCCATAGGCATTATTCAGTTAGCTTCTTTGCGAATTCGTGCCATCACGGCGCCTTCGGATTCGGCGTTATTTGTAGCTGGCATATTAGCTGCAAGACCCTTCCGAATCAGGACTTATCCTGGAAGAGAAAAAAGCGACTTTTTGCAGGACATGGCGTATAAGACTGCTTATACGTGACTCCCTGCTCGTCCGTGCTGTTTGTCCTGATGACGGTGCATGCCATGCAAGCACTGTACTGTAAGCTTGCGCAGTCGAATGTGAATCTCTGCAACCAAACAGCTCCATGTTTCTTTCCGAGTCCCTCCAAAATGCACCTTATGTGGTATGTAAAACGAAACTGCTTGCATCCTTCAGCCTTGATACCGACACTGCGCCCAAACGTTTAGCTGCTTAGCTAAGTTGCGAAATGCTGTGGCTGCTACACCATGTCGTGCTGAGCCTGCTCAGCTTGTCCCAAATTTCCGGCTCCGATTCGGTGAGCGCGGTTTCGCAGACAGAGGCCATCCTCGTGCAGTCATTCCGTCACTTTGACCCCTTCCATGGAAGTATCCACTTCCCCAGAGGCCGCTTGGCAGACCGGAGCAACAGGACACTGCGAGTCACCGGCTGGCTGGGTGCAGCCATCGGAATCTTCCGCACCTGCTGGGGCTGCTATAATGGCTTTTGTACGTCGAGGAGCATCTGTTGCCGGCCAAGGCCAGATCCGGGCTGTTTTGACGGATTGTATTATACGAGAGACGAGTGTTGCGGCACGAGGCACACAGCCCAAGCCAACCATCCTGAGTACCTTGTCCAGTCTCTCTACGAGCAGCTGGGCATGGAACAAGAATACCAGCGCCTGACGGCACGCAGACTGGAACATCTTGCATCGCTAGCGCTGCCGTTGTGGAGCCGTCGGGTGCTGGAGTTGGGTGCGCGACAAGGGGACCTGACTCATTTCTTCACAGATCGGGGCTGCAATGTTACGATCGTAGAGCCCCGCAAGAGCAACATCGTCACACTTCGACAGAGGCTTTTCTTGGGACATCTCTTTCCTGAGCCGGGAAGGGTCGAGATCAGGTCTATGGATGTGGAAGACTCTCTCCCGCAAGGTGACTGGGACATCGTCTTTTGTTATGGGCTCTTGTACCATCTGCAGGAGCCAGAAAGGTTTCTGGAGAAGGTCGCGCCATTGGTTTCTGAGTTATTGCTTTTGGAAACCGTCGTATCGGCTTTCGTCCGGGACGCCGATGAACCTCCCGAACCTGCTTCAATGTCCCTCCGTGGCCGCGTGCGTTTTCTGCGCAGGGAGGACATCTTCCGATTACTGAAGGGACTGTTTCCTTACGCATACGTCCCGGCGACTCAGCCAAACCACGAACAGTTTGAGACGGAATGGGCGCATCAGTCTGGCCTTGCCCGCGCGATCTTTATTGGATCAAGACGACCTCTGCCAAACCCTGATTTACTGGACGAGTTGCCGATGCATCAGAAACGATCATCTTGAGGACCAGCGACCAGCTCCTGCCCAAGTGCTGTGAAATGTAAAATAGCCGCTTCAATGACCAGCATGCGCCGCCTCACACATTGCAGCCCAAAGCCCGCAACCCGACCTCGAGGCCTTCTGGCCCCACTGCCTTCTACGTGGACAGGTCGGGATGCGATCCTTGAGCAGCTGGATCGAGATCCCATCATTGCTCATACCAACAAGGCAGGTCAAAGGGTTTCAGCAACAAAGTTGGTGATGATGGCAGGAGCTTCCAGCTGCCTTCCACATATTGAGCCAAAGGGGCGAGACGAAGTGATAGCCATCACTTCTTGACTTACACCATGAAAAATCGGCATCGTCAGTCAACATCTTTACAGCACATGCGCCATCAATACGTTTGCAGTTAGTTGGTAGTGGACTGCGAGTGAGACAGAGAACTGAGAGTCAAGACAAAACTATGGCTACACAACGCCTGAGGTGCTCAAGTCGCGGGAGTTTTCGTGGTCTGTTTGATTATGCTGTACTGACTATGTACAATTAAGTACGCACGACAGTGATGGACGTCTGACAGGACAAGATCAAGTACTATCACGAGCAGCTCTTCCGCAGCCACCAAATGTTGCTGATGGACCTTTCAGACCATGGATAAGGAATAATCGAATAAACAGAAACTACTGTTGATGATATTAATCCTGCATTTCCTTAAGGACGCTAAATTATGGGAATTATGGTATATTCCGTATTATGGGTAATGCAGGATTTATATCATCAACCGTAGTACGTGTAACTTCACTAGAAGTTGTCGTCGTCGTCGTCGTCAAGAAGCATCAGAAGCGCAAAAGAGCGGAGATGACTTTTCGCGGTGCTCGGGTAGGTTTCGATCTCCCACTTCCAAGATCTGCTGAGCTGCTCTGAAGTACCATGATGAAGGCTCCAGTCCAGACTGCCAGCTTTCCATGAGAGGACACTGCAACTTCCGAGTTCCTCTTCCTGAACGACTTCTTCGACACCAAGGGGGAAATCGGTCTCTTTGTAGATGCTTGGCCATGCTTGGGGTTGGGTCTCTGGGTCTGGGGCACCAGTCTTTGACGGCAAACCACAGCCACGCGTACGGTATAGCGTTTCCCCTGCGAGTGTCGCGGATCCAGGAAGTCTTCGGAAAGACGACGCAGCAGGGCACTCAGAGGCAACAGGAGATGCACGAGCTAGAGTAGACCTTCCCTGCGAAGCTCGAACAGCATGAGTGGGGCAGAAACCGAAGCAGGAAATGCAAGGAATTGAAGAATCACAATGTATACAATATAGGCATGCTTCTTGTTGCGAGTAGTACCAGCTGTCTTTCGATAACAGCGACGGGAGAGGCTAAGCCTGCGTGGCCCTGTCTGGAACCCAAACCCCAAATCCCGAATTCCTGAACCATTTCACAGCGTGGCTCGAAACCCTGAAAAGTGCTAGAGCCACAGTTCTGGTTCTGGGCACGAACCTGGCATCACAATCCGAAAAGAAGAGATCCGCAAAAGACAAGGACTGAATCCAGGGCCCAAACCGAAATAAAAACACCAAAAAACACCCTAAGCCCAAAGCCTCAACTGCAAAGATCCTCTGAGGTACTTCTTAGATGCCCTTGAGGGCTTCCTGGGAAACTGCTGGGACTCGGCCCTTCGGACGTAAAGAGGAACGCAATGTCTCAGTTTTTTGAAATTACTTGTTGTTTTTCGTTCCGAGCAGTATCCCTCACGAGTTGCTGCTCTTTCCGCATTCTTGCTCAGTCTGATGCTTAGTTTGATGCTGATGATGATGACGATGATGATGATGAGTACTGCCGTGATGCTACTATGGCATGCTTGCCATTGTTGTCTGGATGTCAGCATAACTCCGGATCAGTGCAATTCGACATTTCCCAGCAGCAAGATTCATCTAGTGGAGATGTCAAGGCTGACTTCAGGAGGTCTCCTTGTCGGAAGCCAAGTCCCAGGATGAGTTTCTGCAGATCTGCAAGCTCTGAGGTTGGGTTGTTGCTGATGGTTCGAATCGTGGACTTCTACAGGAAGCGCATGCAGCAGCGCAAGGCCCACTTAGTTCTGGCCTCGTTTTCTAAGTCCCAAGTTCCAGGAAGCAGTTTCGCGCCGTGCACCTCTCCCGTTTCCGACGGTGATTGTGCCTGGGGTCGTCAGATGTCATCAGTCAGAGCCCTCATCATACAGGTTGTGAATGTTGAAAGTCTGAAATCATACTTGAAGAGAATCCCGTCACGCTTGACAGAGCTCTCGGACCATGCATGATGCAAGCGCCTTCTGCTTCTTCCTACATTTAAATGGTTTGCCCATGGATTGCGCATACTCAACTCCAGATTGTGCAGTGCTAGGAGGGGTTTGGGGCAGCCAGGGTTGTTTTGTCGTGGCATCTTGCCATGAACAAGCATCTTCTGTCAAGCCTGCTTGAACAGATGCGACAAGAAGCACAAATACATGTATATTGTAGATTGTTCCAGGCATTGGGTGCGACCATGCCCGTATGCTTGACTTTGACTGCGTGCTTTTATGCACATGCGGCAACAACATGAGAGTCAACGAGAAGTTCGGCGAAAAGTTCAGAGCACGGAAGCTCCGGGGCTATGAGGATGATTGGTAGACGGAGCACGGTTGTATAAGAGGCTCCTGGTGTTCGGGTTCGGAAAAATGCAGCAACAGGGCAGTTTGTGGTTGTGGCCAGGTTTGCCCTGACCAACTACAGTAGCTGCGTAGCTATTTCGCTTCGCATTGCTAGTCCAAAGCCCACTCTGACCGTGACTTTTGCCCTGAAGCATGCGCCGAGACGGCGCCGACGCTGCCTCTCTGCAACCCTGCGCTAAGCCCTGAAGCTGGTAAGCCATGGCACGAATCTCGCGGGGGCAGGTCAGCTGTCTGGACTCCTATTTGGATGCCCTGCAGCTGCTTCTCTGGCAGGGCCGCCCAAGCTCGGGTCTGACTCAGGGGCCAGCCTTCTATTCGAAGAGTGTACTGGGGCCCGGTTTCGGGAATTATGGAGTGGCAGGAGCAGCCAAAGCGATAAGAGGAAGGACAGTACGAGGAAAGATTATCGCGTTCAGACTGAAGAACGAAGTCGTCGTCAGAGAAAGTCTTAGTCAGCATGACTGCTCCTCATCCCGCTACACTGTCAAGCAACAAGAGGGCTGCTGGCTTACCTAGATTGGCTCGGAAGGTCGGGCGGTTTCCAACAATGACTATCGGGTCGGCAAAGCTATCATCATCCATCATCATCGTCGTCGGCAACATCGTGGTGGCAGCGGTGGTGGTGGTGGTGGTGGTGGTGGTGGTGGTATTGGAGTTCGTATTCGTCGTGGTTTTGGCAAGTTGTGATCAGTAAGTGGTAAGTAGTAACCACCAAGCAGTAAGCGGCAAGTAGTAGCAACAGCAACAGCATGCAGCAGACATAGCAGTTACAATAGCCGCAACAGCTTTCTTTTTCTGGTCGTCCCCTCCAGGCCAAGGCTCCGAGTGGTGCTGGATGCTAACATTGTGTCCCTCCGGAAGGCCCCGACCTGTCTACTGCAGTTCTGTTAATGTTCTCGCTGTTCACCCGGCAGGCCTACCAGCAGAACCTGCAACCACCGACGAACAACAATCCACACTTGGTAACACGGAGGCTACCGCTTTTGCTTGTTGCATGCTTTGGAACGCTGCAGGCATGGTTCCAGCATAGGCATTTGCCTTTTCGCTACCGCTACACATGCGAGGCACCCCGTTGCCCCACCTATTGTGGGAGGACCTCTTCCTCGAGCTCCCGCAAAATCCTAACCCAAAGGATCCCCGAGGCCTTCAAGCCCTTGGGCGTTGGCAGGTTTGCCGAGCTCGCGGCATCTTTGTACTTCCTGAGCTCCAGCGAAGACAGCGGCCTTCCCGACACCTTGCCAGGATCCCGGTGAGTTAGACTTGGGGTTTCAGGTTTGCTCCTGTCATGGCTTCAGATGCCTTCTTGAGGCGTTTGAAGGTCTAGAGAGTCCAGAAGCCTCATCTAATGTTGAGAGTTGCTCGTTGAAAAATCGGTGTTCTGGCAGGCTTTCGAGTTCAACCAACAGCGTCGGGTTAGGGATTCTGCGCCCTGTCTCCCTCAATGCCCAATTCCGTGCCTTGCTTCGAGACTTGTCTCCCTGAATGGGCCCGAAAGCTCGGATCTCCCGGCACCGAGGCAACAGCCTTTGGCTGCCATGCGGCAGGAGCCTGCTAGCGTCAGATGTTTAGGGCCGTTGGGTTTGGGGCCGAGGGCTTGGGAACAAGATGAGCTGCAGGGTGCTCAAGTCCGATTTGTGGACGGTGCTGACCAGGAGTTCTGCACGCTGCTTTCGGCCATGGCGAACCGGTTGGATGGGCACCTCGTCTGCATCCACCATCCCCCTTTTGCTAGTTCCGGTTCAGTCCGAAGACGAGTTAGATGGTCTTCGATCAGCTAGAACCAGTGTCTTGTATTGTCTTGTGACAGATGTTGCTCCTTTCGAATCCCGGGTTTGCGCATGGACCACCAGGCAGGACTCCGGCCTTGTCTTTCTCGTGAACAACTACGACCTGGTGGACTTGTAGGGAGTGGCCTTGTATCGGGAAGTTCGAGGGATGGGACAGATGGGATGTGTGTAATCGGACCGTTGCCTAAACGTCGAGGTTTGATATGCGCTTGAGGGACGAGGAGGTGGATCTGGGTTTGCAGACATGAGCAGGTGCTGACCGTGTTCCACGAGCGCCACCTTCCCCGGAACGCGACTTCCGTTTTTGAGGACCTGCAGAATGCTGGGGCACAGATCGAGGGGAGCCTTCCCACTCTTCAAATTTGGTGCCTTCCTTCAGGATCTGTTGCGTGACCAGGTGCAGAAGTTTGCCGGGGACTCAGAGGGCGCCGGATCTTCTCAGTCCTGTTCTTCGGGACCTTAGGCTGATGTTAGCCTTCCGAGGTCGAAAGCCAGCTGATGCGCCACTACCCGGATCTCGTGACGCCGTGTGCTCAGAACCTACTAAGTTACTAGTACAGTACCCATGGTAGCAACGTCAGACGCCCTTTCCAAACCGCGGTTCCGAAAGGTTTGTGAAGAACACGGAGCCTGCCTGGAGCTCAGAGCTCTGCTTGCACTTCGGCAGCTTCATCTTCCGAGCTCTTGGCCAGACCGAGGCCGTAGCAAAAATCGACGAGGCCATTCTACAGTTTTCCGTTTGTCATCCACGTGCGGCTTGGGCAACAGCCTTCCAAGTGGGTTGACCCATTCCCTGTCTCCTTGTGCTCATCATCTTCAATACTCTTATAATTCATTTGTCAGCTTGGTTGCTTGTCGGTGCTTTTGAGCGTGTCGTCTTTACATGACCGATCTATTCTCAACCCTCAGCGGCGAAGCCCTGGCTCCCAAGAGCCATCATCAAAACACTTAAACCCTAAACCCCTCGGTATGCTGCTCTTTGTGACCCTCCGGAGGACCGCAAACCAGACCCGAAGTCCGGGTTTGGGCTAAGGAGTTGAGGGCTTAGCGGTTTAGGGATTCGGGGTTGACGGTTTAGGTGTCCAGGGGTTAGGGGTTTCGGGTTTAGGGGTTTTGGGGTTTTGGGCTGCGGGTTTCGTTCGCAGTCTAGTTGCAGAACTTTGAGCTCCTCGTGCGGAGGTTTTGCTTCTTTTCACTCACTTCCCTAAGCTCCGTTGCAGGCGACGGCACGATCGCAGCCGAGCCAATCCCCACCACCAGGCCAAGAAACCTCCGTCTCAGTTCCTGCAGCGTCAGTTTAGGGTTTAGGTCTGCTTTGTTTTCCAGAAGTTTCGCAAGGAGCCTTCCGACCTCCAATTTGGCACGATTAGCGGAATCGGAATCGTTTTCGGCTTCGGGATTTTTAGGGAGAATCCTGGGTTTGGCGTTAAAGGTCGCATGTGTGGAGTTGCAGCACCACCCGTGCACGAAAGCAAGCGCGTCCTGTACCGCAGCCGGCGGTTTCAGTGCTTGTGTGCACTGCAGGAAATAGAGGTTCCGGCCATGTACGATAAACTCAAACACCTTCTATAGTCAACCTCGCGGACACGCTTGCGTTTCTCCTGCCCGCGCCTGTTTGCCAAACACTTGAGACTGGGTCGGAGTCCTGAACCCAACACGGCCCTAATGTTGGCCTTACATCACCCAAATACAGGGGTCCATATTGCAATCCCAAAAATAAAAAAGGGATTCTTATTGAGGTTCCGATGATTCCGATGTTGATCTAGTCTCAAAAGCCAGACGTTTCACGTAAAGCATTGGGCACTTTGGACTCAGACTGTTGTGTCCTGAATTTCAGGTTTTAGGGTATGGTCAGGATGAGGGGTCGAGCGCGTTTAGGTATAGGATCCAAGATTACGGTCGAGGGTCTACTGTAGGGCTTCGTGCCAAGAGTTTCTGGCATAACCATGATGCCGCTGTTGGTCCTTCTACTGCAGTTGCTGGCAGGCGTTCTCGAAGAACTGTTGACGCTGACTCGAACCTTCTCAATGTCACATCTCACTTTCTGATTGCCGCCTGACGTTCAGGCGTCGATGTGCAGAAAATGGAGCAGGCCAGAACTCTTGTTATGTGGGTTAGTGTTCAGGGTTTTGGGGTTCAATTTTAGGGTTTAGGACTCAGGTTTTGGGGTCTAGGTTCTCATCATAGAAGTAAGTATGCATCCTGCTTGAGATGGTTTCGGTGCTTCCGAGATTTCATGATTCCTGTGTGATTGTTTGGCGTCGGGTTACCCCGGAACCCCGTTTTGTTGGGATTGCTTCACTCCCACTGCAAGGACAGTTCAAAGTCTACGGAACCGCAACCCAGACCCCCAAATCCCCGGCCCCCGCCCTACCCTAGGCATCTCAGCTGCAAGATTTGACATTGGGCCTCTCGCCGCACAACGAGCAGCTACATGTGGTACTGAACTGCAGCTGCAACATAACCCTCGCATAGCCTCACCATGCAGGCTCTCGTTTACAACACCAAGAAGTATAGTTACGAATCAAGAAGCGACCATGATGGCTCGATCTCCAGGTGGTTCGCAACTTCGCGGCGAACTGGAAACGGGACCCGCGGTTTCTTTCGGCAGAGGGCAGTGAGGGCTGTTGGGGCCCGGTCCGTTGGATGAGCCGTCTTTCATCTTCCGCCTGACCGCCTTAGGGTTTCAGGGCCTTAAACCCCAAACCCGAAACCTTTGAATGCTTGGAAATCGCTGTTGAAGGAAAGGGATCAGATCCACCAGTACGTCATGGTTTCTTTCAGCAACTTCTCCAACGGTGCTTGGGTCCGCAATGGCTGATGCTAGGATCTTGCGATGTTTGTGACTTCAGGGCAGAAGAGATATCATGCTGAGAGGGCTGGTCCAGCATGAAGCCATGCTTCATAAAGCTGAGGAATGGAGATCTTGAAGCAGGTATTCTGGCTGCAGAGCGCGGAGGGCCAGTGTTGTGGCTAATCGCATCGTGCCCGTTGATCAAGATCGATGGCACCGCCGGAGCATACCCCTCCACTCTGACCCCAAGACCTCGAATCTCCTCAGGTCCTGACGCAGCTTCTGCTCTACTACACGCGGCTCCAGAAAGCCTTCTCCTCAGAGGCTTCAGGGTGCAGCCACTGTGTTTCTGGTCGTGTTGCCTGAGCTATCGGGGCATGTCCTCTTGGCGGCCACCGCCGTCTGCCGTACTGTCTCGCCCAACGTCGAACCAGAAGTTCCGAGGTTATCTTGAAGACTTTTCCGCAGCAACAGCCAGCCTTTGCGAGCGAGATGGTCCCGAATACCACGCAGCGCGGCAGAATCAGTGATGGAGGGAGAGTTGGGGTGTCTCTGTGTTTGTGAGAGCTCCCAAAGCTTCTTGGCACGGCCAGCATAGCAATGGATGAGCATCACAGCCACCATCACGGCAAGTCTAACCGTCGGTCTCTGGGCCCCCTCGTCAATTCGGTAAGGTTTCGAGGTCTCGAACCGAACAGAATGACAGAAGAGCTGTGCAAGAATGTCGGGAGAAGCTGCTACTGAGGATCTTGATGGAGCTCCTTGGCCGAAGATTGCACTCGAGGGAGGGCAGGGGCAGTTTAGGTTTGCAGTGTTCTTCCTGTTGACTTTCTTGTGCCCCCTCGTCGGATGTCAGATTGGCTGGCCTTTCGTCTCTTGTGTCTTGGAATTCGGAACGCGTTCTTGGTAAGTCCCGGATGATGATTTCCCAACAGGCCCTCGGCAGAAGGGAACTGGTTGCGGTGAGGAGGGAAGCAGCAGAGGGGGAATCCCCGAGTCTGGCAGCCGACCAACTAGCGTTCTAGAATATGATATGTGATGACCCCGTCATCGGATAGTTTAATCCTAGCTTGACTTAGCCCACCATTCTAGCTCTCCCATGTGCGGTCTTGTATCGTCTCGAGTCAGATTCAGGCAGCAGCCCCGACACGCAACACATGCATGACCACACTTTCCAGCAGATTTAGGAGGTTCCGGAGTGGACGTTCCATGCAGAGAGCAGAGCGAGCTCAGAGCTACAACGTGCTCAGGGTCCGACGCGACAACTTCGCTTGAGTGGCAGATGTACACCAACGGCCGCAACTGTCAACGGCAAAAATGTTGCGCCTGCTGTATACTAACCTATGTCTCCGTCACTTCAGCATTGGGCCCACCTGTCCGGGCTTTGACTGCATCACTGCCATTTTCCTCGCCAATGGTTTACCTGAGTTCCAGCGGTAGACTCGGCGTAGGGGTAGTCCTCGTGTTTCAGAGTCCGCCCCCACTGCCAGGACCGCACTCATGAGGCTTTTCAGTGCGAAGACCGACCGTCCACACGCCAACCAATCGGACAGGAGGCATGTCGAAGTCAGGCGTCGTGAAGAACTGGGTGGAAGACAAGGGCTTCGGCTTCATAGGCGACACTGCTCTTACATGTTCTCGGCGCTTT